GGCTGGCTGGCTGGCAGGCTTGCTGGCTGGCTGGCTTGCTGGCTGGCTGGCTGGCTGGCAGGCTTGCTGGCTGGCTGGCTGATTGGCTGGCAGGCCTGCTGGCTGGCAGGCTTGCTGGCAGGCTTGCTGGCTGGCAGGCTTGCTGGCTGGCTGGCTGGCTGGCTGGCTGGCTGGCTGGCTGGCTGGCTGGTCGGCTGGCTGGCTGGCTGGCGGGGCCCTGGATGACCTCTGGTTGACTTTTGGCTGGCTGGCTGGCTGTCCAGCTGGCCGGCTGGCGGCGGCGGCGACGACGACGACGACGACGACGACGACGACGACGACGACGACGACGACGACGGCTGGCTGGCTGGCTGGCTTCTGGTTGACTTCTGGCTGGCTGGCTGGCTGTCTGGCTGGCTGGCTGGCCGTCCGGCAGCCTGGCTGGCTGCCTGGCTGGTTGGCTGGTTGACCTCTGGTTGACGTCTGGTGGACTTTTGGCTGGCTGGCTGGCTGTCCGGCTGCGGCTGGCGGCGGCGGCGGCGACGACGACGACGACGACTGCGACGACGCCGACGCCGACGACGACGACAACGACGACGACGACGACGACGACGACGACGACGACGACGACGACGACAACGACGACGACGACGACGATGACCAAACCACGATCACGGCTGGTTGGCTGGCTGGCTGGTTGGCTGGTTGGCTGGTTGGCTGCCAACCAGCCGCCAACCAGCCGCCAACCAGCCGAATGGCCGTGGTTGATTCGTGGTTGGTTCTGGTTGGAAATGCGGCCAAAACCCGTGTAAGTGGTGCTCAAAATACACATGTTTTGCCCGCATTCTGGTTGGGTCTCGGTTGGGTTTTGGTTGGAATTGGGATGAAGTTGCTCTTACACGTTGTAAAGCCTCCCCCTCTGCTGATGATGCTGATGCTGCTGATGCTGCTGATGATGATGATGCTGATGATGATGAGGATGTTGATGATGAGGATGGCGAGGCTGGTGATGAGGATGAGGATGCGGATGATGAGGATGCTGCTGCTGATGATGATGATGATGATGGGGATGAGGATGCGGGTGATGATGAGGATGAGGATGCTGCTGATGATGCTGATGACGATGTTGATGCTGATGCTGATTATGATGATGATGATGATGATGGCAGGATGGTGATGGTGATGATGCTGTTGTTGATGATGATGGTGATGCCGCTGCTGCTGCTGACGATGATGATGGTGATAGTAATGATGATGCTGCTGCTGCCGATGATGATACCGATAATGATGATGATGCTGATTCTGATACTGAGGATGATGCTGATGACGGTGATGATGATGCTGATGCTGCTGACGGTGATGATGATGATGATGATGATGATGATGCTGACGATGCTGCTGCTGCTGCTGCTGCTGATGATGATGATGCTGATGATGATGATGATGATGATGATGATGATGATGATGATGGTGATGGTGATGGTGATGGTGATGCTGATGATGATGATGATGATGATGATGAAAATGTTGGTGGTGATGATGTTGCTGCTGCTGATGATGATGATGATGATAATGCTGCTGCTGCTGCTGATGCTGATGATGATGATGATGCTGATGATGATGATGATGATGATCAGGATGCGGATGAGGATGCGGGTGATGCTGATGATGATGATGACGACGACGATGATGATGATGATGCTGATGATGATGATGATGATGATGATGATGATGATGATGATGATGATGATGATGATGATGATGATGGTGGTGTTGGTGGTGATGGTGATGATGGTGGTGGTGTTTAGGGGGAGTAGGAGGAGGAGGAGGAGGAGGAGGAGGAGGAGGAGGAGGAGGAGGAGGGAGGGAGGAGGAGGAGGTCGAGGAGGAGGAACGCCGTCGCATGTGACACCTTTCGCCTTCACTGCCTGAGGAGCCCTCGTGGACCTCGTCGGGGCAGCTCGCCCCTCCGAGTCGCGCCGAGGCCGAGCGTTTCTGCCCGCGCGCACCGCGCATCGGTGTGCACGGCAGTGGCCTCGCCCGCCCGCCGCCGCCTCCCGCCCTGCGCTCGCCCGCCCCGCGCTCGCCCTGCGCCCGCCCGCTCGGCGCCCCCCGCGCCGCCGACGCGGTGCGAGGAGGAGAAGGAGAAGGCCGTGAGGTTGCAGGACTACGCCGCGGCTGCGAAGCTGAGGGACTCCGAGGAGCACACGTCCCCCGCCTTTCCTTCCTCCTCCTCCTCCTCTTTTCTCCCCTCCTGCTCCTCCTCGTCTTCCTCCTCCTCCTCCTGCTCCTTTCTCTCGCCTCCTGCTCCTCCTTCTCTCCCTCCCCCTCCTCCTCGTCCTCCTCCTCCTTCTCCTCCTCCTCCTCCTCCTCCTCCTCCTCCTCCTCCTCCTCCTCCTCCCTCCCCCTCCTCCTCCCCTCCCCCCTCCCCTCCTCTTCCTCCTTCTGGTGCTCCTCCTCCTGCTCCTCCTCCTTTCACTCCTCCTTCTCCTTCTCCTCCTTCTTACCCTCCCCGTTCTCCTCCACATCCTGGTCCTCGTCCTCCTTTTCTCCTCCTTTCTCCCCTCTTCCTTCTTCTCGTCCTCCTTCTCGTCCTCCTTCTCCCCCTCCTCCTCTTCCTCCTCCTCCTCCTCCACCTCCTCCTCCTCCTCCTCTTCCTCCTCCCTCATCCGCCTTCTCCTGATGCTCCTGCTGCTGCTGCTGCTGTTTCTCCTCCTCCTCCTCCTCCTCCTCCTCCTCCTCCTCCCCTCCTTCTGCCGCTGCTGCTCCTCCACCTCCTCTCATTTTTGAATGTTCCATGCCGCGCACCGTCAGTGACAGGTACGAGGGCACCAGCAGGGCAAAGGGCGGGGCAGTGAGGCGACACGACAAGTGAGCCTCACCACTGCCCACACCCAAGAAGAGCCTTCAGCTCACAGGGGGGGCTCGGGCTTGGCCTCCTTTCCTGCCAACTCCGAAGCAATCCCGAGCCAGTGCCCTCGACCTCCTGTTTGCTGTCCGGGTGGCACTGCTCGCGGCTCTCTTGGCCTCTTTCTGAGCCGTCTCTGTTGCTTTCAAGCGGTCCAGATATGCCGCCAGCTCAGCAGGGGCGAAACCGAATCTCGCACGCACCTTCTGGGTCGTCCATTTCTCCCCCCCCTCACCCCGCTCGTCCCAATATCCCCCGACTTCCCTGACCCAGCAGGGGTGCAGAGTGCTAGTTCCTCGGAGGCCGAGGCAAGCAGTGGCGGCAAGGTCGTGCGGGGATGGCTGCCTCGCTGGGCCTATGGTCCAGCTCCGCCTCCCTCCTCCCCCTCCTTCCTCCCCTTTCCTTCTAAGTGACTCCTCCCTGTCACACCCCGAGACGTTTTGGTAGGGCGGGCCGGGTGTCTCGCCTGAGACTTCCTCACCGTTTTATGATCCAGACGCTTCGAGTTTACAACAGGTTCGCGGATGGAGGGCGGCCAGTTTTCAAAATGTGACTCTCGCCTCAGCGCCGCGCTTATTGGTCTTCAAACATGGTAGGAGTTCCACGGTGTTGAAGTGCCGGGAACAGTGTTCTGGCACGATTGAGGATCCTCAGGACGCAACCGTATCGTTGATTCGCGGCGTTGAAGTCACAGGAATGGTGTTTTGGCACGGTTGGTGATTTTCAGACGGTTGTCTTCCAACGGCGCAGTTGCCGCAGTGACATTTACTCTTGTATGGACCTGCTAAAAGGGAATGTGGAGGGAGGGTTTATTGCAATATCGTTGACGCGTCTTCGATTTACTCTGGTCCTCCCTCCTCCTCCTCCTCCTCCTCCTCCTCCTCCTCCTCCTCCTCCTCCTCCTCCTCCTCCTCCTCCTCCTCCTCCTCCTCCTCCCCCCCTCCTCCTCCTTGTCGGCGACGGAGGCCGCGGGGGCCGCAGAGCCCTGCAGAGCTGTGCACCCGCCTCTGCGCCGACACGTGCCCCCCTGCACGCTGGCTAGAACGCGCTGGCCGACCCGCCTCTCCCCCCCCCTCTCCTCCCCTCCTCTCCTCCTCCTCCTCCTCCTCCTCCTCCTCCTCCTCCTCCTCTCCTCCTCCTCCTCCCCATCCCCTCCTCCTCCTCCTCCTCCTCCTCCTCCTCCTCCTCCTCCTCCCTCCTCCCTCCTCCTCCCTCCTCCTCCTCCTCCTCCTCCTCCTCCTCCTCCCCCTCCTCCTCCCCTCCTCCCCTCTCCCCTCTCCTCCTCCTCCTCCTCCTCCTCCTCCTCCTCCTCCTCCTCCTCCTCCTCCTCCTCCTCCTCCTGCTCCCGGCTCTGGATTCCTCCCTGGCCTCGCCACTCCACTCCCCCCCCTCTTGTTGGGGGGGTCTGCACCCGACACAGGCCGGAGGCCTCGAAGGTGAGGCGTGCACTAATACGTCGTTGCGGGGCCACGCCGCACTGGGGGGCCGCGGTGCCTAGTGCGGGGCTGATGTGCTTCGTCGTTGGTGCGTGCCCTGAACGGTGTATCGAGCAGGCCAAACCCTTATCAGTCAAAATGGTGTGTGACCGACAGGTCGGTGACCAGAACCATGTCTGAAACTGCGACCGACAACGTAGTGTGATCGAAACTGTAACCGACATCGACTCGCTGTGGCTTCGAACCTGAATTTCGTTCACACTCTGGCGCGTTCGGAGAATTCGGGCGCCTGTCTCGGTCACATTCGGTCGGATGTGCGGGCGTTTCGCTCACTACTCCAGACTTCGTAATAAAGGGAGGGGGGTCTCATTTCGGGGGGGGTCTCTTCCAGGCTATCTTGGAGGGCCTGGGGGGTCTGGGGACGATGTTTTGGAGGGTTCTCCCACGGGGGGGGGGGTCTGAAATGGCTTGTCTTGGAGGGTCCAGACCCCCTCCCTTTTACTACGAAATCTGGAGTACACTTCCTTGATAGAGACGAAGCTGCACCAAATGTACCCTTCGGTCCTGCTGCATCCCTCGCCGCCCCGCCTCCCAGATCCCCAGGACCTCCGACGTCTCTCCACCCCCTCACAGCGAGGACCCTCAGAGAGATCTGGACCCCTTCCCTATAGGACTCG